GGATGGAAGGTGGCTCTTCTTAAATAATACTAAAACCATGTTTTCCTTTATTTCAATCAATGTAAATGAGAATTTTTCCTCTTACAATAGGACATCAAACAATGTTGAATGTATGTCTTACCATGCAAAATTTTTAAAACTTCATCTTTTAAGTGATTAATGGTGCTAGCTGGAGTTTTTTGAAACATGAAGAATTCTGGTTTTTTCAACCAGATTGTAACACAACTTCCATTGAATATTTTTATTCTAAAGCCTTGGTTGATCTTTTGGTATAAATCTATCCTTTCTGTCATTAGTCTTCACTTAATTGCATTGTGGCTTTTTCTTTTCCTGTCTTGTTTTCTTAGACAGGATTGCACACTTAGCAGGTTTGAGCCAGCCACAGAAAATCACCTAAATGCATTTCTTCAGCAATCCCTCTTCCCCTCCCTCTGCTGTCTGCAGCAGGCAGATGTGATCTCTGCTGGATAAAACAAAACAGACCCTACACTGTTCACAGGAACATGTGCTCCTTGAACGCTGAGAAGCGTCACAGCCGTGTCTTCTTAAATGTTGGATGGTTTGTGAGACTCTTTCAGGCTTTATATTGATTTTGCATGGAACTAGGTCAGAGTCGCTTTTAATTGAACAAAGCTGGCTGCTGCAACTCTCACTTAACTGTAAAAAAGGGGTATTAAAAATTGATATGCAAAGCAAACTTCTGCTTAATTAGCAAGCGGATGAAGTCAGAATAGACAAACCACCTTGGTTAGTAAAGATGAGGATGTGGGTTTCACTGACAACCTAATATACTCTTTTTTTTTTTTTTTTCTAATGGCTTAAGCAGTGAACATTATCCATGTTTCTTGCACATGGTATTAATAGCTGATTATTTTTCTTTGGAAGAGGTTAGGATAAAGTTACAGATGTGCAGATCAGACAGAGCACCTGGGGATTCTCTGTGCTCCTACTCCTTCAGCCAGGTCCGTGCCTGCCTTGTGGCTGGATGAGGTGAGGTCTGACGTGTCGAGGCTGGAGGAGATAAGTTCTGACTCACATCTAAACTCCACCTAAAGTTACTTAGTTTGCTTTACACCTGTATGTATATTCTGAACTTTAGACCCTGCGAGTAGTACCATTTAATTCCCCCAATATGCAAGTTCTGCCTAGAGTGATGTATTATTTATTTGAGTTTGTAACAAACACACAGGGAAAAAAAGGGAATAAATTAATAATGTATAGATTACCTTATACATTTCAGCTCACCACTGAGAGAGATGGCAGAGAGCAACCCTCATTTTAAGTTCCTTAAGACAATTGCTTTTCTTTCTTCCCCCAAAACCCCAAGCAGCCATAAAGGTTCTGCAATTTATCACTTAGCACTGCACTAAGAAGCCACCTGGACCTGAAATTAATTTGTGTTTAAGAGCAGAGTGGCAGACTGGCCACAGATTTACGTTCACTTGAATGATAGCTTTTTAGGTAAGATGTTTTCTGTAGTTGTAATTTCAGTTTTCTATGGTCCAAGTTACAACTGGCTCAGTTTGGTTCTCACTTTTTTCAGCATTTCCAAGTTTTCTGGTACCACAGCTCACGTGCCAACCTTGCCTAGCATGCAGCAATTTGGGGACATTTCATAGAGAGGAAATTATGCCAATTATTTGTAAAATATGTACTCCATAAGAGATTTTTAGCCACCATCTTATTCTTTAAATGCAAAAGCCGGAGATTCAGGTGAAATAAATAAGAAAAAAAGCATATCCTTGAATATTGAAATACAATGACAGCTGGAAGTGCTTGAAACATTTGAATGCCTTTACGGCAGTTTAACCAACTGTGTCCATAAATATTTAAAGAAGTGAATTATTTCTTGAAATTTACATTTTTATGTACCATTTTGGTGGAAGAAGTATTGAACAATAAAGATGCTTTCCATAATAATCTCAGCTTTCAAAATACAGCACTTGACTGTGAAAAGGTTTGCCGGTGGCCATCATACGATTCACTGAGCTCCCAGCATAATACTGAGCTTCAGTAGTTCCTAACTCCAAATTAAGGTTTATAACAGCACTAGGTAACCCAGATCCCATCTGTGTTTCTGCACTTCTCAAATGAAAAGTGAAAAAACAAAAGAGCTGTGCAGCAGCTACTGTTGCCTTCCAGCACCGTGTCTGAGTGTGTGTGTATATATCTGACTGGTAAGTTTGTGTTTTCAGTACGGGATCAACGTGAATAAACTGGCCATTTAAATCCGGCTGGAGCTGTTATAAAGGGTCACTCTCTTTAAAATTCGGTTTTCAGTCCATGATAAGCTCACTGTCCATGCCTCGTGTCGGGCTGCAGGAGCAAAAAGGTGGAGTAGTGAATGTGCTGTTATGAGACACCGTAATTTGTGCCACTGAGCTCGCTCCACGGAGCTACATTTGCAGCAGATAGTAGCTGATGGTATAAAATCCTCCAAGTGGCTGGGACAGTTGACAAATGTGCCAGTAATGGGCTGAGACCTGGGAGGGGAGCATTCTGTATTTCTGAAGCTGTCCAGGGCACATCAGAATTGAGGTGCTCTTTCTGTCAAGCAAGAACTAGCACAGTAATTTTTTTTTTCTTTTTTTTTTTTTTTTCTTAATTGAATTTGGGTGTGATTCCCACTGACATTTATTAAGGAAGCTGAAATTATTATAAAATCGTCCTCAAAATATTTGAGTAAATGTGAGGCATTAATTTTTTTTTTTTTTTTTCATTTTTTTGTATGTTCACTAGTGAGCAGCAAGGTAATATTACAGAAAACTGTATAAAACACGGACATGTTGTTTTTCTATCTATCAACGTTACTGATAGTGATCACCAAATAATAATGATTCAACCTCTGTGATGGGTTACATGACATTATAATCTGATTCAATCTGCTTTTCATTTTTAGGAAATATTACTTTTCAGATAAACTGTGAACTGAAAATCCCCAAGAAAGGATAGAGGAATGTAAATTTACAAAGTCTAGACAGCCAGCTGAAAACTGATTTTCTACACCTTATAAAGAACAAGACTATAAACCAAATCTTTATTTAGTCTGAATATTTCCATAGTTTCCAGCTGGTTGCAGAGAAATGCTGGGCTTTGATTCAGCTGATAATAAAACTAAGAATGCACAAATCATTTTTATCAGGCAACAAGTACAAATGCGTCTCTGTTGTGTAAACTGAAGTGGATTAATCCTTAGCTCTGCCCTCAGCCAGGGCATTTCCACTGTAACAAGGGCTGCCTGCATGAGTGGGTGACATTTCAAGGGGTGGTGGTGTCAGTGGGGCACACACAGAGAAGGCTTTCACTAATGTAATCCCAGCATTTCCAGGAGCAGCTGAATTACATAGTAAATAACCTCTATTGAATGATGCATTAAGTTGTTAGGGTATTTGCAGGGCCCATTTCTGACTTTATAAAAACATATTCTTGTCTTTTGTCTTTCTCTTTGTTTTGCTGGAAAGAATAAGCAGCAAACTAGACAGTGTCTTGTATTGGTAGAAAATAGATTTGTGTGTATATCCAAAGAATTTTAAAACTTTGCTCATATCTTTCCTTTTCCCAGACAAGTAGGGGCTTAAAAAAGTGAAAGTTTTCGGTGTAAAGAAAAAAATCAGATATAACTGTATGTCTCTGTTATGTGAAAAAGTTCATCACTATTTTTGATAGCTCAATGCTCAGAAAAAAACAGAAGAGCCTTTTTGTTGATAACTGAAACAGTTCAAATCTAGTAATAATTTGGGCTGTCCACCTCTTTGCACAGCTCTTTGTATTAGCAAGTCTCTCTGTGCAGTCACAGGCAGAGCTGTGTTACAAACATCTCGTAGCAAAGGTCCCTGAAAGGCAGATGTCATGTTATATTGATACAGACTGTTATTCAACCTTGTACTCTGCTGGGGCTACCAACTGGGAAAAACAAACAGTTTGGATTTTCATTTCAGTGTCTTTTTGCATACATGAAAGTAGGTAAGTGACCTAAAAGTTCAGGGAAGAGGTTTGATTTTTGAAGGTCTTTGTCACGTGAAATGCCACGGAATTCTGTTTACAATTCCTAGGCTGGGGTTGTTTGCTCATTTTCTCATGAAGTGTTTGTTGCTAACTGAAGATTGTGGTAAGATATCCTTAACATTGATTTTTACTGTTAACCGATAGTCATCCACAAAAATACACTAATGGTTACATATTGCACTGCATATCCTATTAGATATTTTTACATCTTTCCTATATGACGTTTCACTGAGGAAACTCCAGGCTGACTGTGTTTGTTGTTACTCATTAAGTTCATCTGCAGACTCAATGTGAAAGAGAAGAAATTAGGGTCTTGAGAGCAGAACAGAAAATCACCAGCCATGAAGAAAGCAGACATCACTGCTTCACTTGAAAAATCTTACAGTTGTGTTTTAAGTTTCTCCTTTTTACACTGACTCGTGGAGTTGCAAGCAGAAAGTAATTTTCTGACTCCAAGGATTTTCCAACCAAGTGAAATTTCATTTCCTAGGTTACGGTGCTGGGCACACACAAAATGGATTTTTGCTCTTTTGTTTTGTGGATTGTGTGCTTTTATTAGAGCTTCCAAGGAGTACAGATATGTAGCTTGCACAGTATTGCCTTAGGAGAGAGCTTCCTTAGAAAGTGCCTGAAGAAGAACTTGCTCCCAAAGAAATGGCAGCTGAAAAGAATCCAAGTATTTCTATAAATTTTTAATAAGCCACAGTTTGGTATGATACTGTTTTCAAAATTATTTTCATGGTGCATAAAAGTTGCAACAAAAAAAAAAGTTACATTTTATCCATCTGCTGCGCCGTTTATGGTTTTAATAATTAAAAACTGTATGGAAACCTACATAAACTACTGGGTGTTGGCCTAGATGGTAAAATAATGCTATAAATTGTCCTTAAAAAATTTATGGTTGGTGTACGTGGAGTATTGTGCAAAAGGCTGTTACATGACGAGGATGATTAACAGACACTCTGTAACAAAATGTTCGCTTATGTGTTTCCTAGAACCACTGGATGAGCTGAAGATCAGAAGTCACAGCACTGAACCACTACCAAAGCTGGAAAACAAAGAGAGAGGATATCATGGGACAACTTCCTCCAGGGAGCCAGGGAAAGCTCAGGAATGGGATGGAACGCCGGGCCCGCCTGTGGTGTCCAGCAGGCTGGGGAGATCCTCTGTCAGCCCAACCATGCTGGCTGGAAGCAACAGCTCAGGTGAGTCAAGGAGCAGAGCCAGGAAGGTCTAATGGATCTCCTTGTGAGATGAGGGATCTCTAAAGATACACAGATGTAGGTAAGCAGATTCTTTAGACTTCCAAACGTCTTCTGGAATCTGCCCTGCCCACTGACTGCTGTACTTGTAAGCCTTTTGCTGCCTGCCTGTGCTCTGTGCTGGAACAGGTTGGGATGTTGGCAGGTAATACAAGCATGTAAACATGGGGTTCCTCTTTTTGGAAGAGGTAAGGAATTCCACATGACACTATGGGAAAGTCACCCCAGGATGGCACCTCAGAGAGAAATTTGTAAATTCAGGTATCTCAGAGAGTGACAAAAATAGACTGTTCAGAAGCAAGGCTGTCCCAGTGATGGGCACAGTGACTGGACACAGGCAACATTTGACTTATGCTTGGACAAGAAATTTCTAGAAAAGTGACTATGGGGTTTCAGAAGTTTCAGATTCACCCCTGTCAGCATTCTTAATCCAAATTTTATATATATTAAATAGTAAATTGCCATAAGCCATGGCATTATAATGCAGCCTTGTTTATAAATTGACTAAGACAAACAGAACCGATGCATGAATGGACATCTCTAAACAGATATCTACGCCTCTGGCATGAATACTGCACTGTTACTTTTGAGATTTGACAGCTCTCATAAAAAAGAGTAACCTCACTGCTTATTAGTTGGATTATGAAAAAATATCCACTTTAGAAACAGTTGGCATATATAGCACTGAAGCCTCATGGTCAGTGTTCAATAAGCATAAGAGCACGAATGAGCTGCTAAAACAAGAAATCATTCCTGCAAGGGGGATCTGCTGGGCAGTGAGTGGCAGAGATGAGTCTTTAAACTGCTGAGCCAGCAGAGATGCTCACCCTCACTCAGAGCATCGCTTCCCCGTGTGATAATGGGACTCACATTGTCTCTGAATCGTTGAAAATGACACCTGAAACTCAGTGTATAACTCGAATGGTCATTGCTGACGTGACATATCATTTGCAGCAATCATGTAGTCCAGCTTTTCTTGCTACAGACACCCCAGACAGTCCTTCCTGGGGCAGCAAATGTGACTTTTCTGCAAATCTTACGACTCTAGCACAGGTTATTAGAGTATTACTGCCAATTTCTTACTTGTCTGTTCTCAAAAAGACTTCTGTTAGGTAAGAATTTTCCAGATTAACTCATAGCTTTGGATAAAAATTCTGTTCCCAGTGTATTCGAGAGTCTGTGCTAATGCAGGTAAAAAGGGTGGGTTTAAAAGCTACCACGTCAAAGTATTGGGACATCCGATAATTAGACCAAAGGTGTCTACTAACCTTCTCAGTTCTACAAGATGACAGGACGGAGCAGAGTGGTAAAGAAGTTAAAATTAAAGAGTAAGTTCTTAGCAAAATATAGCTCTGCGGTCCAACCTTTCTGCAGCAGTTTTATTTCAAAGAGTTGGTTGATCTCCAGAAGCAGACAAAACATGTTGGCCTCAGTCTTCATTTGGCATCAGCAAACTATAATAGTTGTTGAATCATGCCTTGATTTAGTTAACTGTGACTTTGTCTTACATTGCTAGGACTGTCAGAGAAAAAGACATATTTTCTTGGCTGAATTTTGACTCCTTTTTATGATTAAAATCTGAGAGCTGATTATAACTTTTCTTTCCCTGCAGTTTTATGCTATTTCATTTGATGAATATTGCCTCTCATCTGCCCTGTGTCTCTCTCTGTTGCCTGAGCAACATGTTTTACCTTTAATCAGTGGGGCATTGCATTCAAAGTGTACACAGTTCTCCTCAGTGAACTTGTACATGAGCTGGAACAGTTCATTCCCTGCAATTAGATTAGAACTGTAACAGAATGCAAGAAGGGAGATTTAATACATCTATATGAATACAAATGCTTTTTGGAGCCAAGGAGATAAAGTAATTCTGTGCTAGGAATTGGAGCTCAGATTTACCACAGGACCGTAAAAAATCAAGGCAGTCCCCAGTACAGTCATCATTGCTGTTGCTCTCTTTCCAGCATCATAGATAACAGGAAAAAAGGCTACCTTCTTTTTTTCTTTGTTTTTTTTTTATGTGCAGGCATGTCCTTGAAATACCACAGTTTGCTGCCTGCCTCCTGGTTCACACTGGTTCAGGCATTTGCTAGGGCAGTGTTGGAATAAATTAAAGAAATTGGGGCTGAATTGCTCCACCGTAAAAGAGAAAGTGTGAAAGGACTTCTCAAGTGTGCTCATCAGGCAGCTCTGCTGAGGCACAGAGGAACTGGGAAGTTGGGGGGCCTGAACAAATACTGAGTAGCAATACTGATTTGTGGTAGGTTCTCTCCATCTCTGAAACTGCTCGTGAGATCAGAGGGAGAATGAGCCCTCCCTAAACAGAATCTTGAACTTTCTGTCCGTTTTGCTCAAAGAGCCTGAGCTGTGAGCTGCACACAGGTATCACTGTCTCTAATGCCTGATTGTTCCGTGACATCATTTGTCAAGGCCACTTTCTGTTTCTTGGAATCCTATCATTTCTCATGGAAAGCAACGTGATTTGGGGGCATTTTGACATCTTAGGAAAGTCAGTGCAATTGTAGTGAAGGGCCAGATGGGATCTGTAAAACAGAAAGTTGTACAGCTTCACTCCAGGAGAATTGAAGAGCATTTTCTGGAACGTTGCTGCTTTTTTTCCTGACTGCAGCCATGAAGCATTTTACATTGCCACCTGCTGCTGGAGACAGGGCACTGCCTTGCCTTTTAAACCTGTTTTTGAAGCACAACCAGCTTGTCACTCAGCCAGCCATTAGTATTCCACCTGAAGACACTGTAGATAATCAGGAAGGGCGTAAATGCCCACCCTTCGTTGGAATTACTGGCTATCGTTATGGATTTGCAAAAGTAACGAGTTTATAAGTTCAGCTCTTTGGGAGTGGAGCAATGCCTGGGAAGCCCAAGGTGCAAAGTTGCATCCATTGGTACAGGAGGGGAGTAGCAGCAAAATACCAGTTCATTCCAGCTAGGCCTGCTTCATGCAAAGATGAGTACTTCCACCAAACCCTAAATTTTCTCCGGGAGCCCCCGGTGGTCCAGGGGAAAATTCACTGCACTGTCACTGCAGAGACCCGGGTTCGATTCCCGGTCGGGGCCCCTCCCCGGGCAGATGGAGCTCGTTAGCCCATAAGGCAATCCATCTACGTCCTGAGGAGCTCGCTGCCACCGTCCAAGCGTGCTTGGCCCCGGCAGATGAACCTCAGGATTAAAGGGTGGGCTCAGTTCCGCGCACACTGTGTCTCACCTAAAAAATCCAATGCGCAGGCTGGAAGGTGGAAAGACCTTCCCCGGTTCTTCGTTCGCGAAGAGACTGGCCATTAAATTTTCTCCTCACCTGCAGTATCAGAGTATCACTGTGCTCCTAAATCCACAAGGATTCTCCAAGTGAAAGCAACTTAACGCTGGAGGTATATGTTACTGGACAGCCTGGGATCACGTGGATCCTGACTGAAGTGAAACTATTGTCTAGATGTGACAAAAACACACATAAAAAAAACCTGAATAAAAATACCCAACACTTACTTGTGCTGCAAAGCAGCCAGGAAATAGCAAACAAACACAGCCAAATCCTACAACAACAAAAGCTTTTCAAAGGAAATAAACACTCATTCTCAGGATACAAAGTGTATTCCACTAATAGCTTTTCCCTCTGGGCAAAGTATCCCCGAAAGCCATATAGAAGGTTCCTTTCAGGCGTGGTTTTACTCATTACCTGACTCGGTTTTGAGACTTGCTAAGGTTTTGACCTATGGATATATCTGGTAACACTGAGTTCCACAGGTTCAGTGCTCCCTTTGTGAAAACATTTCAGTTTGACGTGCTGCTGTGCTATTTCAGCACTAATTGGCTTCTCCAGGTGAAGTCCTAAATACCCTTTTTTTTTTTAAAAAAGTAACAGGATACTGTGTAGTTTATTCCACCTTAATGTTTCATAATTTCAAGTAATGTTTCAGCTTACTCATCTCTTTTTAGAAGACCAGCATAGCTAGGCCAGTATGAAGATAATACTGTGATTCATTTTTCCAGTGTGCATGTTTTCTTTTTCTTCTTTTTTTTAAGCATGTGATTGCTCTCAGCCTGTCACATCGCCTTGTTTAATTCAAAACGTGTTTCTTGGCAGCTGCAGCAAATAAGCAATATTTCCCTTTTCATGTGCAAAGAAGAGACTGTGACAGGATAAGAAGCTTCTCCAATGTAAGTGACAGCCAGAGTATTTTTTTTGAATTAAGATTAGGATAGGCAGAATGAAGGCTTCCTTGGATGAAAAAGAACTCTTCCCATTAAGATCCAAAAATAAAAATCATGCAGAGTCGTTGTACTTCTGGAGAATATAGAAAACCATAGCACATTGGTATTAAAATTATTGAAAATATTTCCATAAATCTTGTCACATTTCAGCACTGTGCTTTGTTGAGGAAAATCCTACAACTCCCCCTGTCCTAAATGCAGCCAGCCAAGCCTCTGTATCTTTAGTAATGATGACAGCACTTGCACTTTTGGAAAAAAAGGCCATTTATGTGAGTGCTTAAATACATGATTAAGCACACAACTTTAAGGCAATCCTATCTGTGATTGGAAAGCCAGTATTTCTGCGTTGGACAGTCTCTCCTAAAATTCTCATCCTTAATGCTGTCCTTTGGGTCTGTCCATGTGTAATCCTGCTGGTGGTGTTGGGACTCGGTTTAAACCTGAGAGTGCAGTAAAGCTCATCCCACTGCACTGTGTGTGTGGGTTTGCCTCACGTGAGGTTCCTGTGGTCCCAGCCCTTGTCTGCATTGGACATTTGGGACAGGTATTTACAGAGCCTTCCCTCTGTGCTTATCAGGATTGCTGATGGAACTCAGCTTCACACCTGAATTACTGTCACAAAGGGGAATTCTCAAGACTTCTCATTTAAAATGTTAATACTGAGCTGTCTCAGTATCATGCACAGGAGATAAACATGAATTAAACACTAGGAAGCATCCTGAGATTTGCTGGCAGTGGCTGTCTCCTTTTAAGATTCTTAGCAGTAAACAGGAAAACCTATTTTCTTTCCAGACTCAGAATTGGTGACAATATTCAGGCCTTGCAGACAAACTGAAATGACCATTGAAAACATGAAAACCAAGAAATAAAGATACAGGTCACGATGGGATGGTGGACTGACTTATCTATGCAAGGAGAATTCTTGCTAGTTTTTAGATAGCCTAAAGCAGAAGTATTTATTTGAAGTGACCATTACTTAGAAGTGATCAAAACCCAGACAGCCCCAATACAGTAAATGACTTCCACAGCTGAAAAATAACAAGCTGCAGAATACAGAGCAGTGAGTTGGGGATCACTTATGCTACAGACCATTTATATATGAGTTTTTTTCCCCACAGTAGTGTGCAGTGTGAAGATGTTACTCAGACCTCTAACTATAGTAGAATATAGTATTTATTTGGTCTAAAAATATTGCCACTGAGACCAGTGGATATTAAAAAAAAAATTCCTCCCAGTACCCAACTTCTGAATTAAAAAAAAAAAAAAAATCTAGATGAAGCCACCTCTGAAACACTTTTGGTGAGACTCAGCATGGAAATCACAATAGTTTCCTTAATACTAGAACATATATTACAGGGAGATAAAGGAAGTTATACTTCATCCATGTGTGATAGGTTTTATTTCTTTGATGCCAGATGAAAGGAGTCTCTTTGGCAAGAAAATGGTAATCTCTTGTTGTTGCACATAGATTCAAATTGGAAATTATGACACTTCTCCCTGCTTTCCTAAAGCAAAGAAAATAATTCAGAAGCATAGGCAGACAGTGCCTTGGAGTTTTTTATGTGCTGGGTGTCTGATTCTGCTTGTCACAGCAGAAACAGAATCTCTATTTAGCAGCAGAGAAAAACAACTGAAAAAAGACCCAATTCTTGTCCTCTCTGAAACCCCAGCAAAATTCCAGGAGATGAGAGATGAGATATAATAATGAGATCCATTTTTTTAATCTCTATTAAAAAGAACAGTCAGAAATCTGGCACACAGACAGTGTGAAATCAGAACAAAAACAAATCAAATCAACCTTCAGAGTAAGTGCCCAAGTCCAAAAAAAGCAAACCAGCAGACTATGTACAAAAGGCAAGGTTACAGACGAGACCAGTCTGCTCCTTTCTGTGCCTATTGCTGTGTTGACTCGTGGGATGTTTACAGACTGGCTAGGAGTGAGTGAATTGAATAATGCATTCGTCGAACAGCATAAATATTTTTGCTGCTCAGCCAGCTGGATGTTAACCAACCTATTAATCTTTAGTTGATGAATATTCACCCATACAGATGTTTTCATTGGTCTAAGTGCTCTGGCATAAGTGGATAGCTCTTCTCCACACCTTATTGAATTCTGAAATGTCTGAGGAAAAAAAGCATTTAAGGTGACAAAGAGAAAGTATCGGTGAGATTGGAGGAACCCCTTTCAGCATGTTGTTGGTATGTGGAGTAATGTGCCAGCTGTCCCCAAGTTTCCAAGGCATGCCAAGTGACCTTAAGGGTGTGCTGGTGATTAGATGTCTTCTTCCTTTCAAACCAAGGCCCAACTAGTGGCTACTGATACTGGAGATCCACGTAGGAAATAGAGAAATTAGTGTAAACAAACATAGACAAGGCAGCAGTGTAAATGAGGTAGGAGAAAATGAGGCAAGAGAAAATAAATTTCAGGGACACATAAGAAAAAGACCTGAGAAAATACGTGCTTCAGAGACAAATTTGCTAAACCAGGATTGCACGAGGCATAGGTCCTTCCTCTGTTCTTGAAAACATGAAATTGGATAGGAGGAATTCTTTAAACCTTACTTTAAAAATTAAAAATTCTTGGAATTGTAATGAGGCATGGTATTATAATTACTTGTTATTCATGGTAAAGCAATACTATCAACGCTAAAAGTGAGAGTCTATTGTTGTACAAAGTGTGTCTGGAGAGTGCAAATGTTCTTGGTCTCAGTGTTTGCCCACTAAATAGAAAAAAAAAAAAAACAGGTGCAGGGTTGGGAGGAAGGCTTATGAAACATGAGGAGAATAAACACAATGATTCAAGCCCAGCCGTGGGTTGAGAGGTGTTTCCTCAGCCATATAAAAGAAAGGTAGGGACAAAAAAATTTCTTGGGCAGAAACGGGCAGACCTTTTATTCAGGAAAAAACAGTTTCCTCTAGACCAGATATGGCGTGTTGAACGTTGGGGTAGCTCGTGGGTGTCAGCATGTTTTAGATACAAAAACCTTCATCCAGGCCTCCTGAGCTGCATGGTCACCTCATGTCAGCATGTACAAAATAACCTGCACTGGAAATCAACGGGGAACCTTCTTAGAAATGCCTTCATGTAAAACAGCAGAGGGAAAATGAAATATCTGTGTAATTTCTGGGCAGTTCTTCTCTGAAATGGAGTTTTCTCTCAGGGTAACCTCTGCTTCTGCTATCGCCTTCATTCTGGGCAACTGACTTTGCCACTGCTGGTGATTTAATTTTTTCTCCATTCTTCCTACGTTATGTCTCTCCATTTACTGCCACTGACATCAGAGTTCCAAGTGTTTTGGGTGTCATTCCAAATCCCCAAGTGGGACAGTGTCCTCAATACTTCATACACTGCCTCCTTTATTTTCTGGCATTTTATGCTTTCCCTCAGCACAATCAGCCTTTGGGCTGCCCTGTCCCTCAGCCCTGGGATGGAGAGATGAAACCAGAAGCTGCTGCAATCACTGCTATATCCCTTTATCACTGCTGTATTACAAGAGGGGTAGAAAAGGCACTGGAGAGTGGGGGGTGAGGCAACAAGAATGTTTCTTTTGTATTCTCCCTGTCTGTCTGCTGGTTTGGGCTCTATACTTTGGCTTCAGAGATGCTAGAGCAGAGATGCCAGGACATGGAATGGGTTCTGTCTTAATCCCTCTCCTTCTGAGCTCAGCTTCTGTTTATGACTCAGCCAAATGCCTGAGACTTTAACCAGTAAACCAAGCCCGGAGTCTCCATTTCAAGGGAATCCTGGCTCCAGCGTGTTTCAGTTTACTGCAGCAGTAACCCACCTCCTGTTCACTGGTGTTCCTACTCTCTTCCTTTCCAGAGTCTAAAGCAAGCTGCAGATTAGGTCGGTCTGCATCCACGTCAGGTGTGCCTCCTCCCTCCGTGACACCGCTCAGGCAGCCCAGTGACCTTCAACCGAGCCAGGTACCATCGTTAGCCAATCGTGAATGACTCCATGTGCTGCAACATGCCAAGTGTTTCTCACCTCTGTGTCTGTCATTTGTTACAGTAAATGGTTTTTTTGGGTTCTTGTCTTTATTTTCTGTGCGTGTGCGTGCATCTGTGTGTGCGCATCTCCCACTGGCAATGAAATTCCACTGGCCGTAGCCAGCAGAATTTTCTTTGCTCTTGATTCCTTGTATCTTTTTCTGTCCTCATTCTGTAATATAAATGTAGTAAAACTGTACTGTATGAACTGGCTGGGCTTCTTATTTTTTCATGTTTTCTGTACTTTTTTACTGTCTTAAAATTTATCAAGCTTTGATAAATTTAATCTATGTTTTTATGTAAATTTCTTTTAAATGTCTTGTCTGGAGCACTTACACCAATGTTTGTCAAAGGCTTGTACATACTTGACTTCTACTCAGTTATATTTTAATATTTGTGCCAGTCTCACATTTGGTTGGAGCTTAATGCATGATTGTATGACACTGTGATTTATCACTGTCCTGAAAACTGCTCTTACAGCAAGTGATTTTTCTTTTAGTTAAGGCAGCTAGACTCTCTTCAGCTATAGACCATGTAATGCTTACAAGGACTATTAAATAGTCCACTGTAGTTATATTTATTGTATATTAGGAATCAGAAAAACTAATCAGAGGCAACACCTCCTTTTACCTTAAACAGAGATACTTTTTTTTTTCCTCATCAGAAACAAAACTTCCACATAGAAGGAAATGGAAGTGTTTGGGCTTGGCAAGTTTCTCCCATAGAGAGAAAATGGAAAAGAAATAAAGACATGGGACACCTATACTTACCTTTATTTTATATGCTAATACTGATACCGTAACATTTTGTTGCACAGACCTGTTTTATTAGTTTGACAGAACTAACTGAGAGTGGCAATTGAGAAAAGAGGTTTGGCTTGAACATAATGTGAATGCCTTCTGTCAAAGCACTGTGGTGTCACGTCACTCGTGTGTGCAGGCCCGCACATCACTGCATACCTGGGGGGGGGGTGTGTGTGCACAAGGACACACCAAGATAGATGTATCTATGTGCACCTGCATATATGTATGCACACACACAGGCACTCTTACTTAGATGGTGAATTTTCAGGGAATTAGTCCCCAAAATCCTATTGAACATCGGTGAGGTTTGAGTGGAGAAACTCCCTGAGGGCTGCTTTGCAATAATCATGTGTTTGCGTTGTTTCTAGCTAGGCAAGTTGCTTCTGTAAGGTCTTGGCCAAAATAAAGACCAGAAGAGTAAGGTTGATTTATTCGCTCCAGACAGCCAGCTGCTTGTTAGGAAGGTTATATTTGACCAGCCTGGTCCATGCAGATTACCATTCTGTAACCTGGATGAACTGATGTTATTGTATTTCTTCTGAGCCCGGCTGGACACGAAGCCTGACAGAACCATGCACGTTTCTAAAGCATATTTTCCATAAGCAAATCAAACCCATAATGGAGATTCAAAGTGACAGCCCATTTAAATAACACGCCAAGTGTTCCTTCATCTAAGGAAGAAATTAGGGTAATTGCACTTCCAAAAGTTTTGAGGGTTCCAGTGTTCATGTAGTATATATTTTTGATTAAATGGGTCTTACAGCGCAGACGATGCTTTGCTGTTTACTCAGCGGCAAAGGCACCTTGGGTGTTTTGAAGGGATTTCAGTCTCTCCGTTTATACTAAGAACTAAACAATAAGCCTTTAAAGCAGAAGCTGATGTGATAGAAGAGATAATGAGCCTCTTAGAAGCTGCAGCCAGAGTTCACTGAAACTGTGGAGGGAAAATCCACCTCAATTCATACAGAAGAAAGGAACAAAGATGATAAGAGGAATTTTAAAGTGACTGTAGGAGGGTGATCTTGTTAATTGAATAATGTATGGTATGGTCAAGACTTCATGAAAAGCAAGAAAAACCAGTGCAAGCTTTCTCTCCTTAAGTCTTCCCTTCAAGCTGACAATATCTTACAGTCCATCTATTATGTTGCCATTTGTTATGGTAACATAATTTTTAAAGGTGTGGATTTAACCTTGATTTCAGTGGAATGGCAGAAGTCTGATTATGCCCACGACAAACAAAAACATTACTTTGATTGTGCTCTTTCAGCACCTACTCTATCTTAATGAGCAAATAATCTGTGGCGGGTGAAATGTGTTTTGAAAGGCTGGGTTTTTAGCCCATCCTCAGTCTGACAGATTGTGGCATCCAGGGTATCTGTTTTCGTGTGCTGTGGCTATTGATTGTATTGATACTGGGTTCCTTAACCACATTGTAACGAGCAGTTAGACTTTTTAAAAGATCAAAAGGATGCATTGTGTTATCCACCTCTTTGTCGATCAGATGGGCACAGCTGACATTCATACAGGGATACAAGATCTGGGAAAGGGCAGATGACTGTTAATTGGTTTTCTCAAATCTTCATGGATACCAAACTGATGGTTTTCAGAATGTTTAATGTGTGTGGGGGGGAAGATTTGCAATTGAGCTCTCAAAGCCCATCGTTTTTAAAACAGTAATTCAAAGATGTGGTGAGGATGCTTATTAACTAAAAATAGGTTTGATCTAAGGAAACCTATATTTTATTCCAATCAAATACAGACTAACTATGTAGCTATTGACATTTAAATCCCCTATGCCTTATTTTCTTGTTTCTTGTTTGCTTATTGGTGTAGGAATTGTGAGGAGTAACCAGTCAGTATTCACAGAACTTATTTAAGGTGAATTGATGATAAGCATTAGAGGGGTCACTTATAAATAAAAAAGGCTTATGATCAGGGAAGAATTATGTAGCTGGTCTCTGATGGTCAATACTTTAAAAATTCTGTATGTAGTGTCAGAGAACAGTTACCAACATGCTGAGCCAAATAGAGAGCCTGCCATTCTGTCCTCAGTTCTGGGAAATGGGGAGAGCATTTGGAAAGAACTAGTTGCAGGAAGAAGCCTTGGATGAAATATTGAATTGTCTCGATTTAAACTGAAAGGTAAACTTAAGTTTATCTTGGAATTGAATTTATTGATTGTGAAAGGACAAAGTTTAAGAATTTAAGGAGGTAGCAAAGGAAGTCAGGTAGGGAGCTTGGAAGTGTAATATGGCAGAAGCACGAAACACTTTTGAGCTGTTTTCTGTAGCCTTCTAAGTGGATAGAGAACAGTAGAATTTAACCACATGTGAGGTTTATAAAGTCCAGTAAACATGGTCCACAGATGCCCTAATAAATAACTCCTCACCTGTATTGCTGGAGCCTCTGTGTTGGTGCCTGAGACTTCTGGACCAGGCATGGTCAGGTGTTTGACCCTGCAGTGGTAAATGCTCAGTCCTGTCAGGGCAGCCCCATAGTGAACAAAACTGTTCCCCTGTGTAAAGCAAGCAGGATTTGGAGTCACGGGCATCACTGGGATAGTTTCCTTGGCATCCTGTCCTTCTTCACACATCATCACCTCAGGGTAACAAAGGATTGCACTCTGTCGATGGGGCTCAGACATCCCTGTTGCACACTTGAAACGTGGGCACTGAGCATGTCTGTCACGAAAGAAGAAAATGTTTCAGGCAAAGCTGGGCTGTGGGAGACCCTCTGCTGGAGAGCAGAGCATCTCGCATTCAGAGTCCTAATGTACATAAAATCATCTCTAGGTCGCTGCCATGCTTCTCTAAAACAGTCTTTAGCACACCAAAAAAACCCACTGGTTTCCATTTTAAGAAAAAAAGAGATGATATAATTATCTGGATTTTTTTTCTGCAAATGAATTTGCAGAAAATGAGGTTCATTTTCATTAAGATGCAGACAGTGATTGGAAAATCCCTTGTACACAGTAGTGCATGCCTATAACAAAGATCCATGACCTGAAGGAAAACACATGCTTTGAAAACAAAACTGCTGATAGCTGGAGTATTTAAGCTTGTCTGCAAAGCAGAGCCTATTTCCAGACAGATTTCTACAAATCTGTCTGCCTTATCTGCAAATGTGCAGCCTCTCTTCATGCTGCCTGTGAGTTATTTGCCTTTCAGTGGCCAGACAGCGCTGTCCTTTCCTGAGGTATGCTATCTTAATTCTGAGGGTGTGTATACCTCTTAAGGTCTGGTATCTTCTTGTGGGGAAAACTGGGCAGTGATATCTAGCTCCAATTTAAGCAAGAAAAGAAGATTTAAACTTCACAGTGATGATCAAAGTAAAATCCAGAAGCCGTGCTGAGATTAGAAGGAATAACTCAGAAGAGGGGATGAAGGTACATGGACAGCTCTGAATTAAGGAGTTTCAACGAGCATTGAAGGAATGAAGAAAAAGCTAGAAAATATATCAGCATCAACACTGAATTTTTTTATGGCTTATTTAAAAAAAAAAAAAAAAAGTGCAGCTCAGTTCATTATTTCTCTGGTATCTGCCTGAGCCCTCAGAAAGCTGAGATAGTACTTTTCTTTCCCCATATGACCTACCTACTTCTGAGTTGTCTAAATCAGCTTCCTGTAGGTGGTAGGAAGAGAGGTGCCTGCAGAGGGAATTCACCTGGCTAAACCCTCAGTGAGCTGCTTGTCTGTTCCCTCGGACAACCTGGTAACTCAGTTAATTAACCTGGAAAGCTTGTTGGGATCATTCCTGCTTTGTGTGTGTTAGAGGCTCCTGGGCAGATAACAGTCACTGCAATTTCCACTGCAGGTTTGTAGGCATTTAGAGGTTTTCACGCTCCATCCATGGGCATTGGGAGAAAGAGTATGGATGTGGCTGGGTCCTGCTGAAGGGTACTCTTTGAAATTACACACTTTCAGCACCTTCTTGAGGAAGGGAGGGAGGGAGAGAGGAGGAGGCTTGCTCCAGACTCCTTTATTAAATCCCAGTTCTTCCACACAGCAGCTTAGATAACATTTTGTTTAAGACTCAGTATTTTGGTGCCAACTGAAATGCAATCAGAAGGCACACAATGCATTGTGAAAAAGCATTCTAGCATTAAAGCTGATGTGAGGCCTTCGGGGCAACTCT